CTGAACTGATTTTTGGTTGTTCATTTCAAGTTTTGAACTTGGAGAAAGGTCATGTCTTGGTTATAAAAACATTTTCATTTCCTGAACAATTTTAAATCTGCGGCTGCAGCTGCGTTTGGCCTCCCAAACTGCTTGTTGTATACTTTCCGTGCAAAGTGAATCATGCATTTCTTTACGCCATCAAGAAATCATACAATTTTTCACCGGGTATGCACCTTGTCGCATATTTTCTGAGCGACATTAAGGAACGGACAATTCACTGTCATGAAACATTTGACAAATAGACAGAAAGCCATTCTTCAAGTTTGAAAACCGAAAAAGACATGATTTGCTGTGAAATGAATGCCTGAAAGAATATTCTAGTGCATCATTCTTTAAAACATAGTTGAATTTGTAATGGTATCCAAAATAAACGTACAGTTTTCGTGTAAATTTTGTTGTCATTTTTTATCTACTGAGGTTCTTACAGACGGCCACAAAGAAGTGCACTCAAAAGCCGGCGTTCTGGTTCGACTAAAATATTTCGGGATTATGCTGCATGATAACCATTTTTCGACCCCACCAACGTAATTCTTTTTAATCGAAAACAATTTTCAGGATTTTGTATAAATCGCAGACAAAACTATTGTGTCACCATCGTCTACAAACTGGTATACGAACAGAGCGTGAAGAGGCACGGCCTTCTGGTGGTCTGATTAGCAAGCGATGAGTAAAACTTGCATTCGTGTTATCTCGTTTCAAGATAACCCTGCTTGCAATTGACAGCAAGCATGACTTTGTAAACAGTCGTTTATCATGTGCTGGCAATGTGACCTTCATTATTTTTGTTGGAACTGCTGTCATCTGGTCACGAGGAATAACCTGAGTAGCATTACGGCATCTGTCAGAGACCCATCTCAGCCCTCGTCTAATTATACCCAGAACGTTTTCTGCTCTAAACATTAAATGCTACACGTTCGTTTTAGGGCCAGTATGTTTCCTACAGCAAGTCTTACCAAAAAGGTTTTAAGTTGACTTTTTATAACTACTTAATAAAGCTTTTTAACACGCATTTCGTTTTTAATGCTCGTTTTCCAGACAGTTATGACCTTATGCCCCTTAAATAGGTACAGCATCTTGGAAGACATTTTGGGATGATCGGACTGCGGTTTTTAAAATGGTTGACTTCTAATCGGTGGTTCTGTGCAGGGAAGTATGTACAAACGTGGCTAGTATTTATTGTCCGAATGTTGTTTTAGTTAAGTTTGCAATCGATGCGACAAGGCCTCGAACATTCGCAAGGTTGGGTTCCAAAATGCATCGCAAATCGGGAAGAACAGCAAGCGTTTTGCACAAGTAACTAAAACGCTTATATCTACAGATTATACCCTCGATCAGATCCAAGCACCGTCCCCAAATCACTCTAATTTCATTTCGAAGTTAGATTAATAAGTGGTTGGCTTAAAAGGGATTTGCTTGATGGGTATATTTTACATTAACCCATTAAAAATACTGTATAATAATGTGGTTTCTATACTAATGCATTTTCTGCGATTTCATTTTGCATTCACAAAGAGACGTCCTGATCAAGCTGTCTCGCTAACCTTTCCGGCAGCAAGGGTTCAAATGCCATTATTTACTAACCTATTTTACGCGGAGAAGGTAATGATAACTTGTCACCCCAGAATACCTAAATGTGCATCTATTCCTTCCACTTGCTCCTGCGGAGCAGGTTATACTGGTCGCACGAGTCGGCGTTTATCTAAGAGAATACGAGGAAAACTCCCGGCATGGTTGGGAAAAGCCGCAACTAGGAGCATAAGCAGCGCCATTCTCGCGCATGTTGTCGATTTCGGACATCATGTGGATCCCAACGAAGGCTTTCGTGTAATTTATAAGGTCTCAACGAGCTATCCGAAGCTACTGGGCCAACGCCTGTTAGCAACAGCGGAAGCGGCCGCCATTAGGTTACGAAAGCCAATCTTATGCGCACAGAAGAACCACGTCCAGGCTTCGCGCCTACGCTGCAACGTTCCCGCGCCCATTCTCTCTCACTCGGCCCCTGACATTGACTGCTTATAACCTTCCCCCTCTCCCACATTCCCTCACGCGGCCTGGGTTTTAAGGCGAACTTTAATCGATTTATCTTATCACTGGAATGTTGTTACTTCTACCTCGTCCCCATATAATTGTACTGGCCCGATGAGAATTTATCGAAAGCTACGTATGCTCGGCACCTCGTCTTCTCATTATTGCCATGGGAATTTTCGCAACTCATTTGCAATTTTGTAAAAAAATGAGAAAATGTACGCATGTATATGTATTCAGTACAAAGGTTTCGCGGGTCCAGAAACAAAGATGCGCAAGGCACGGCTATGATTGAAACTATTAATAGTGCACTTACAAAAATAAATAAAGTCGGGAAAAATAATTCCAACGAGTCAGTAGCAATGGCTGTGTGACAAACTACGTTGAACCGAGGCTGTTTAAGCCAGATGTTTTCTCGTTAAACTCAATTTTTCATATATTAAATCGGTGCGTCCTCAGGTCCGCGTATGGAGTCGCCAAACAATAAGTAATCATCCATTAACTCTTGTATTTTTATAACCCTGCCTATGAAGTCCTGCGTCTTCGTACTGTCATTTTACGTTAATTCCGTACCCGTGTAAGGCTTGCCTATGTTTACGTCGATTTGACATAATCTCGACTCAGTTTTGTCTCTACGTTTTTCCATATCATATTAACGCATTTAACTAGATTTATTTCCATATGCAAAGGAAGTAGAGTTCCTTACTATATATTCTTGTATTCCTGTCATGTCTGAGATTCCGATAGCTCTGATCGATTTGGGCCGCGAGTTGGATTACTTTTTAACGAAATGCACATTACCTTCGTCATTAGAGGAACCTACAAACCCTTGTCTCGAGAACTGTGATCCTAAAGCTCAAAAAGAATCTATTCCCGTCGGGCAATTACAGTGGTGGCCACCGGTACACCTTCCGTCCCTTTCATCGACTCACGCCTTCCTTCCCTTCCCTTCTCGGCCATCAATGACGAGTACGCCGACCGCCCAGCACTCAGTCCCCTATTAGCGCCAGAAGTGTCCACTTCATTCAAACATCGCTATACACTTCCTGCAAACCGAATCAGCAAGGTCGGAGCTTCACTTCAGGTAGGGTTAAATAACGCCTAACACGTCTTCAATTGGCTGAAATCACTCAGTGCTGCAGTTGAATAAGCCGATGTCTCGGATGGTTTTGCGTAATGGCCAGCGCAATACATGTTCAAGCCACCTCATGCATCAAAATTCCACTAAAATTTCGGTCGCCTATGCGGACAATTGCAAGAGACATGGTTGGACTTACGAATATTTGGAAGATGTGGTGAATTGACACCAAAACGACTATCATCAAAGATATGAATCGCGCGATTTTAGGATGCTGAAGATGTTATGATTCAACAACCTTAATGACTATCACCGAATAGTCATTTTCAGTTTTTAACATGTGGAACGTCACTTTTCGTGCACATAATCGGAATAGGGGAAACTATCTACTGCTCTCCACCTCACCGGAGCTCTACCCGCCTCGTTCGTATCGCCAAAGATCTGAATCACGCGATGTTAGGGTACATAGCCCGCATCCGATCGCAAATCGATCAGCCGGCCCTTCTGAAACATCCTATCAAGTATTCCCAAAGCTGTCATTGTCCAAACTGGCACCTCAGTATTTTTAGACAGCCTGTGGTAGTTCAGAAAATTGAGCAAAGAACACCTGGGAGACATTCCTAGGCCTAGTCTTCGGTTTTACATGGTCTTCGGTAACTGCACTCCAATATACTTCAGCACACGGCTGTGCACCGGTCAAACTTAGTTAAACAGCGCAATAGGATTCATTGCCAGTTTAAGGTGCTAGAAAGCCGCATAACGAATGAGACCGTGAATGATTGTTGTACTGCGTATCTTTCCGTATATTGTAGAATATAGGCAGAAAGGTATTACCGACAAAGACATGGAAGACTGGCATGACCATTTCTGGCTTATTAGCCGTCGTCAGTCAAGCTTACCCAATCCAGTAGTGTGGGACGACCTGTTAGTTAGATGTGCAACGCATCTAACCACTGCACTGCGGGCTCGTTGTACTTTTGGCTGCGATTGGGAATATACAATGGTAGAGGATCGCTCAACAATCGTTTCTACGGAACTCGCTCGTCCCGGTGTGCCTTATGGGCTTTCTCTTGAGCCCAATTAGCAGCCCAGTCAGTACGACTGGCTGACGACGGCTAATAAGACAGAAATGGCCACTCCAGTCTTTGTCGGTAATACCATTCTGCCTATATAATGCGCAGCTCTGCGCCTGCTGGTTGGGCTCGAGAGAGGGCCCTAAAGCACAATGACACGAGTGAGTACTGTAGAAACGATCGGTGAGCGTCCCTCTACCGTTGTGGAATATCTCGGCCTCGACTAACTTCGTGCTCCCATTAACTGTACGTGACAGATCATTGTGGTTCAATTATCTCCACTCAATCCTCGTTGGGTTTTAACGAAAGTCTGCGAATTTTGGAAAGCAGGACAACCTCACATTGAAAGAGACTGTGGAAAATATGAACGTCTATTACGGACTTGATGGGACAATCAGTCACCCGACTTTGTGTCGGTTGGCCCAACTATTTAGCATCCTGTTACTAAATATCGTCCCTTTAAGGGGTCTCTGCTGACGCCGACTTCTCATGGAGTTAGAGTCATCCTATGGATCTGGCCGGGTAGGCCATGGTCCCGTCCCTTGACCAGACAAAATACTCATGACTCCAAATCTAACCATCAAGCGCAGTTGAACTGTCGTTGGAACATTCGTCAGGAGTCCCTCCTGGGCAGTGTTTGTCCCTGATCTCATGCATGTTTGCGAAATTTTGTTTATTCTGAGTCGTCGTATAACTTGGTCTTCTGACATACTGCACTAAAACTCCATTTCTAGGTAAGGTTTCGTTTATTTAGTAAGACGGGGATTCAGGCAACTGAAAAATCACAGACGTAGATTAAACGCAGTGTCTTTTACCCATTTGTGAATTGCCTTGACGTTGCTGACAATTGCACAGCGTCCTTTGCAGTCATTCGTTCCACCTTCTATTAGTCCATACCAGAACCACCTGTCGTCGTTGTGGTTATGTGAATGGCAGAATAGTCCACCGCCGCTGTCCCCGACACATGGATTCTAAAGCGCACATAAAAGTCAGTTGGGAGGTGTAAAACAAGCAGGAATGCTGCAATAAAAGGACTTTATGTAAACGGTAATCATCTGTGAATAAAGTTGCATAGCGTGCCAGTCATACAAACACTTTCCTAGGGTCCAGTAATGCTTTCCCTTTTCGGCGCACGTGACAATTCCTGTGACCGCAGCCAGAAAACCTTGCATCACCGAGGGAGCGGATAACTACTAACTCCAATATTAAGTACTATATGTAGTTACATAAATGGATTATTCACAAATTTGCTATGACTTATGCAGCCATTGTAACGTACCGTGCCCTCTGTTCTTATGCATGAATGACGATTCCTGTAATAAGGCGTGAAGACTTCTGTGCAGGCCTCATCCAACTCAATTTGAATTTGCGCTTCTCTGAGGGTCTTCGGGAAAACTAGTTTGTCTGGTGACCGTTTTTTATAAAGTCCTCCCCAGCCGGCGAAATAGCATATGGTTCCACGCGACAGCGTCATGCGACTTGACGGAAAGCAGATAGGTTGCACGGTTTCACCTTGACGTCGTTAACAGGAAAGCAGGGAAGTAAACCTAGTATTTTTTAGAGCACGCTACGATGCATAATAGCCTATAGGTTAAAAGGCATACGCATATATTTATACAGGCTAGTCTGATTAGTTATGAGGACGTATATTCATAAGATTTGACGTATGGCTGCTAATAACGGTGTAGTGAAATACTACAGGCAGTAATGTAGAAAATTACCTGGTCTTGCATCCTCGTAAAGTTTTAATAGCGCGATGTCGTAGCCCTCTTCACGCAGGGTGTTGTTGTATTGGGGGTGAACGACCACATACTGCACGGCATGCAACCGATTGGATGTACCAGCTTCTGTGTAGTCGTAGGCACCAGCAAGTACCTGAAGTCGGTCACCCGATGTAGCTGGTATGCTAAATGGCCTTCCCAAAGGTAAATCATGGCAACCAACAAGAGCGCCGATGCAATGTGCGGCAGTCACGACGATGGAAGGGCTGATGAGCGTTCCTCCACAAAACGGGTGATTTCCCCTCCGGTCCGACCACAAGCCCACCTAAAAAATGAAGAAGAAACATGTTGCACAGTCCAAGGTAGGGGGGCGTTTACTGGTGGTTTTTAATTAACTGATTCCTCCCGTTGTGCCTTCGGGCTCTCTTTCGAGCCTAACCAACAGTCGCACACGACGCGTGATAAACATAGGCAGAATGGTATTACCGACAAAGACTAGGGAGGCTGGAATGGCCATTTCTGGCTTATTAGCCGTCGTCAGCCAGTCATAACCAACCCCGAAATGTGGAACATCTATGACTCGAACTGGCGACCTGTTAGTGAGAAGTCTGACGCCTCTAAACACTAAGCCACGGGCTCGTTGTCCTATCGGCTGCGATCGGGAATACACAATGGTAGATCGTCTTTTGCGGCACTTACTCGTCCCGTTTGCGAAATCGCCGTAGGATTAGTCTTTCGCTAATTGTAACACATGTAATATAGGCACGCACCTAAACTGCATGGCTCAGAGTTGATTAGGTTCGACAAGGTGCATGTCAAATCAAATTGTTTGACAAGTCCACACATTCCGCTGCTTTCTGCAAACAGTTTAGAAGGGCGGACAGTTTGCTGAATATTCTTCCCACCATAAAAGTTTAAAGTCTTGCAGACACTTACACTTGGAAGCCACCTCCATCGCTTTATTATCTTCTTCATCTATACTACTTTCTGCATTCTAGTCTAAAGTTGATTTTACTTCCAGACCTTGATATCAAAAAGGCAGAGTTCAAAAGGATTAAGTGCAAATGCAACGAAATGAAAAGGTTCAACCTCACGCTCATCTCTTTTGGTTTGTACATTATAATCATACTGAACCTCTGTGCAATACCTTAGGAGCAGGTTGTTCCGTCTTACAAGCGCACGTCCACAGCTTCTCGAAGCATCCCCTCAAAGCATTTCATTTGCGGCAGGCTAGAAAGAGGCTGTCGAAGACAGCGACTAATGGACATTTTGAGCTACGGGCTGTGGTCTGACTTCAACGCACACTGGTCCGTATATGACCCACGTGCTGGCTGCCTCTACAATGCTTGGCATTGTTCTTTTTTCACCAGGGTGCATGCATTTATCCCCCCCCCCCCAACAGTGTAGCTAGTTGGAGGGCGGAGGGTTTGTTCTACGATGTACGCGAATATGCGAGTTCCAGGCCCTAGTTGATAAGAAGGAGCAATCTCTGGAACGAGTGGTTTATTCGCCTGACGTTTCGAGTTCCCACTTGAACCCATCATCGGAGCGGTCTGTTATTCTGAAGCCGAGTTATGAAGATTTTGGTGGTGAAATGGCGGGTACGTTACCCAATTCTATTGGACGTTTTGCTGACTTGCTTCCAAGCTTGGAGGAGGTGACTAGCACGACGTTAAATTGCTCGTGGAATTGAGTTCTGGCATCTACAATCATGCTCGTGGAGTGACCCACTTAGGTCAACGTGAACTATTTCGGGGGTTCTTTTGAGCAGACCGGTAAAATATCCTTAACACATCTGACCGAGACTATACTTATTCCGCAAGTCACAGTGACCGATAGGTCGAGCTCGCGCTAAACAAAGATGGATAAGGGCGATTTTGGAAAGTACCTGTCAGATCGTATAGCTATAAAAAATTTTATAAGACCAGTTGGGAAGCATACGTTTGCTTTCGATAAGTTATCGTCAGGCCAGTACATTTATATGGGAACGGGATAGAAGCAAAAACATGTCCCCGGTAAAAGAGACCGATTAATGTTCGTCTTAAAACACAGGCGGTGTGTGGGAATATGGGGGGGGGGGAGGGGGGATTGGGACAATAACAGTTGGTTGGAAGCGGAAGGGCGCGCGGAGAGTCGCTTGGTAGGTGTGGAGCCTGAACGTGCTTCTTCTGCGATTTGCAGCGTTAAAGGACTTTCGACCGCGGTAGGTGCGGAACCTAAAAGCCGACTAACAGTGAAACTCTCCGCGCCCTTCCGCTCACATCACGGCCTTGACACCGACTGCTAATCCCCCCCCCCCACCTCACCCTGCCACATTCCCACGCCCCGCCTGTGATTTAATACGAACTTTAATCGATTTCTATCATCACCGACATGTTTTTGCTTCTAGCTCGTCTCCATATGCATGCACTGACCTGATGAAAATTTACCAGACGATAATCTATGTTCGATTACTGGTCTTCTGAATATTGCCATGGGAATTTTCGCAACTATAAATTTTTTTTACATAAATGAACGACATAGCAGTGATCACCACACATCTTCCTGATCGGAACTATGCAGGTCCGTCAACGAAATGACTATCATGTTCCGCTTGCTCAGAAAATACAACATTTCTGACATTCGCATACATTGAGAAGGACGTTCGGGTGTTGGCACTGATGAAGGGACTACTCTGCTTGACTGAATCGGAATCATGAGTCACGCCTGGCAGCTGCATTTCGATTACGTCGGGGTCACCAATGTCACAACAACTTAGGCCATAGGCAAACCCTCAGGATCTGGTCTCCAACGGAAAGAAGTGTTGGGCTAGTCGAGAGGATGCCGTATTCTGTAAAGAGCGATCAAAGGATCGGTCGGAGTAAGCCGTCAGCCGGGGAGCGGTGTTAGGAGAGCGACGCCCCAAGTGTCAGCAGGAAATGTATCACGCCACGCCTTGAAAATGCTTGACCGGTTTGCACAGCCGCGACTGGCCGAGAATCAGACCACCACTGGTGCGCATGTGCGGGCACTGACAAGAGGCGCAGCGTCACACTAATCACCGGATGCTTAGCTTCAGTTATCCCATTTTTCGAACTTCATTCTGATCTGATTATCAAGAACATTATCAGAGCATCATTTCGATTTAATTTCTGTAAATCGTCAGGACGGATTACACGTGTAATTCACAGTCAGGCAATGAGATATAATAACGATCCCGGTCCAGGTTTATAAGAAAGATTTCCTTATGAACTGAGCAGTTCGGCCTATTAAGTGTCGTACATCACTCTTTGCGCAGTGCTTTACTACAAGGTCGCATCCATTGCGTAAGTAATATCAAGTGAAGAACATGTTTGTTTTTTTTGCCATACTGCATTTTTGCTGCTACTTTTTAATTAATCATTACCTATGTTCTAGGGCAAAACCATATTGCATCGCTACGACCACTATTTAATTACTTGGTACTAGTGTGTTAAGGAATGAAAAACAGCCACTTACATGCCAAGGCCAACTGTTGGGTGTTGCGCGGGTTTTTCTAGTCTCGGCTTCCTGCTTGTTCCTCCGTTCGACCGCCGGAATCCCACAATCGTCAGGAAACCCATGCTCAACTTCATAGACTTTATAATTTACGAGAAAAAGGTATTTACACGCATGCAAAAATAAAAATAGGTGCATTTATTATTTTCAGCTAGTCGTTCCATTTTTACAACTTTCACATGCAAGCATTCTGTCAGCTCTGTTGTGTGGCGTGGCCTCAGTCCGCCCAATCATGCATTAGGACCTCAAGAATGGGCAAGTTGACAAGATAAACCGAGGGACACTCCAAAGGCTGTTTCTACCAAAATAGCTTCTTATTTCAAATGCGCAATCTCACGAAATGCTAGCCCAAATGATGAAATGTGACTTTGGTTAGAAAAGACAACTTAAATAGGGCCGTAGGACTGTCGCAGAGCATAACAACAAGATATTTCATTCACGTCCGGGTTCCGGCTTTTGGACGAGCCTCTTCCTAGTGCTTACAAAAACTAATCTCTGCAAGAAATGACTACTTATGTAAGATGAATTTCGCCTACCGATTTTCGACTCAAATAAATTTCATAGAGAACATTCAAAAAAATATTGCATCTTGTGCGCAGGTTGTAGTAGATTAATTTTTCTTTAAATTTTTTACTTAGAATGAGGATATTGTTTGTTTTTGAAAAGTTTCCAATTCTGATAATTTTTAAAACCATAAACTGTCTATCCATAGAACATCACATCCGTAAATTTATTAATACTGCTTGTAAAGTACACAACCTAGTCCACATCTGTTGCAAGATATTGCAAGCCCTATGCGACATCTTAATAGTATCTAAAAATGTGTTATTCTCCCTATGGTTGGAAAACATTGAATGCAAGTGTAACGGCTTAAAATTATTCGGCAATTAAGAAGGCTTTTAAAACCGAAATATTTAAAGAAGACGTAACTTGCTACCAAGTGGACACAAGAAGAAATATTTGTGCCCTTTCCTCTACAAAATATGTTTGAATTTATAAGAATATGCAGAATCAATAGGGAAAGTTCATTCCACTTAGGTAGTCATTTCTTACAGAGTGCAGTTTTTGAAAGTGCCGAAAAGAAACTTGTTCAAAAGCCGGCATCATGACGTGACTAAAATATCCTGAGATCGTGCTGCGCAATAGTTGGTCTCACGATCTGATTGAAGATGCATTTCAGAATTGCGGTTAACATTTCATGCGATGGCACATCTACTGTAAGGTGCATGTCAAATTAGCAGGCCATATATTTGCTTCTTAATTTACTCAGAAACTAATTGTGAACTTGGAGTAGATCAGTATGCTCTAGGTCTATATGCTTATACCGAATTTTTTATGTATGAATATTCGGGCCAAAGTTCATCAGATATAGCGAGTAACCGCGTGATATTCATTAACTTATCACAGGCAGCTAGTAGTATATTTTAGGATAAGAGGATACCATACTAACGGCAAAGGTGCTAGCCAAAAGCCCATACGTGCGTGTTTCGCCGATATTCTGCCGCCGCATGGCGCAGCTGCGTGGGGTTCGGCTGATCAGTGCGTCCCCCGACGTGGAATTTTGGTTAGTACTTATGCTGTTGGTATGGGGTTCCCTTCCTAAAATATCAGGCAGTGTGTCAGTAGCGCGATTGGGAGAATTTAATCCGCAGCATCGTCGCAATTTGCCTGTGAGAAACCGGAAACCGATGAGGCCAGTAATATTATTTAGATTTCTTTAGATTTACATACCCTAAAGTATAGATTCGTTCCAAAGACGCTTACATTTCCATAGACTCAAATGACTAGCATGTGAATGATCATCTCCCAACAAAACAGCCGTGTAACCATGTGTATAAACCCAAGACATGCCAAGTAAACTATCATCTCAAACTTTACTGTTTATTACATTATTCCCCAAATAGGACCTCAGTGTGCATTTAGCAGGCTGTTAAATAAAGATACTTTAGGATCTTCTAGTACTTTTTTTTACTGTAACCTAATTCTTGTAGGGCAAAAACATTCTCATTCATATAAGAATATATCTGCATTTGATTTGGAATATAAAAATTAACAGACCATTGGCACTGGTTCCTAGGAGGATGCAGGAAAGCACTGCCACAAGCGAGTGCTTCATGCCCAGATATAGAAGGGCGTAGAGTGAGTTTTGAGTCGCGAAGATCTATTCCCGAATATAAAGCGCAGACATCTCGGCTGCGTCGCACTCTGTTTTCGAAAACAAAACACCCAACGCGGGAGATTTTCTATCATCCGACTTTTTACCATCGCATTTTTCCGCGATCCTAGCCCATGAATGTGCGGAGAAGCTTGGGAACTAAAAATATCATTTTTTCACTCCTTAGGTCACACGCGTCGGGCTTCGGCAGGCAAACCAAGTAATCAACTTAACTCATATCAAAAGACGACAGTTCCTTTTTAATAGTGCAAAAAACTAAACCATATATCCCTCAATTTGCTTTTAGCGCCGGTTCATCTGATTAGTAAGACGCGGTTTACTGAAATAATTTTCCCTCAAATTTTGCTCACATTAAGCTCCTCTGAAAGGCAATAATCGTGCGTGGAACGGAGTCTAGTAATTCAACCTTTCCTTCTACCTACCAGATTAATGGGCTATCCACCAACCTGATGCTTGGCGACTAAGTAACTCGGATAATTTTGCTGGGATAAAAATACAATCAGTTTGTGTTAAATGTTAGTTGAAATTGCGTAGGCAATCAAATGCCAGCCGGGAGATTTTTAGTTGCAACCAAGACGCTCGAAGCTGGTGCAGTTGGTAACCTGCAGACCTAGCCTGCCCAAATTCACGAAGATCGCTGGTAAGTCAAAAACCGACCCACTTCCAGTTATAGAAACATATAATTAAAATTCGAATATTGCCAGACAGGTGAAAATACTAAAAGTGCATGAGGACTGGTATTGGGTCAGTCAGAAAGGGCAGTTTTCTAAGAATAGTAAGAAATGTAAAAAACCCCCAAAAATTGAAGCAGACTAGAAAAGTAAATTTTCAGATATGACCGATGCATGTGTACGTTAGTAGAAATAAATAATAAATAAGGTAGGATGGGCACAGAAGTTTCAGAAAACGTCCTCGGAGAACTAGTTTATGGCAGTCAGTCAAATGTTTAATGTTAAAACAGAGGTCAAAACTAATACGCAGGCCTGCGAGTTCAAAATGCTTCGTTTTCCCATCCCTCGATATGCATTAATGTTCTCCAATTTCCGGGTAAATTAATAGGCGTTTTCCCAGCGTCACTTGTTGAGAGAACGATTTGGAAAAAATTAACAGATACATCCATGGACGCACCATTTTTTACGCCTGAGAAGTATTTTCCGTCCGTAAATTCGCTGTGGGCTTTATATAAGCAGTGAGATCCACTAGATGTAGGTGGGTTTCCAACATTTCACTGAGTACTTAGTTATTTTCGGTGCTAAGAGTTAAGTAACCAAAGAGACAGTATCCGTTACTTATTTTTATCAAAACTTCTAAATAGAACATTTTGGCAGCTTTCATTCGGTAGAAGGGATTTATGATGTCGCCTTTCCTGCAGATTACGATCAAAGTCTAACTGGTAGATTTGCTTTAACACGAAATCATATAGCCAATAAGAACTGATTTTTACCATAAAGGCCCATTCTCAGTGTGCCCTTGATAAAATACAAGATTTAAGACATTTCAATTCAGAAATACAACAACTGGTTCATCTCGCGAAATTTCATCCGAAATTCTGACATGTGTTTTAGATTAAAAAGGACAATTGGAGTGGAGTTTTAATAATGGTTATCGGGCAACACAACCCCAAGACATTTCAGTCAAACCAGGATATCAACCTTTTAATGCGCTACTTTCCGAACGTCTGTAAGTACCTCAGTAGATAAAAAATGACTACATGATTAGCACAGAGATTTCGCACTGATTTTCGATACCCCAATAAATTTGATTATATTTTATAAAAAAGCGCACAAGATTATTCTTTCGCTAATATATTTAATAGCAGTTTAGGTCTTGAGAGAGAGAGAGGAATTCGATTAATTTTAAAATCATAAATTCAAAATTTTCAGCAAAAAATTGGCTCCATTCACTATACGTAGTAAACAAGTTGATATATTATTCAAGTGTCAAACAGTTTAATACAAAAGGGACGATTATTATGGGGGCAGTTCAAGTCTTAGCTTCTGTATTTCTATCTCTTCACATATAAGATAGTGCGGCAGGAATGACAATACAGAAGCTCGAAAAGCCGATGTGCGACATGACATAAGTCGGAAGCTGCGGCGCATCGGACAAGAAGACTTCACAGACATAAGATCAAAATGTAAGGGATGGGCAACGTCATCTATAATCCGACCAGCAACTTGCTTGACCGCATTGAAATGTCGTTGTAGGATAGTTTCGACTAAAAAAAGATAAGAAACACCAGCGGCAGAAGAAAGCGTTTGGAGGACTTGTTTAAAAATTAAAAGATCTTTTTTGAGTAAAGTAAAAAAATGACAGGAGAACAGTATAGCATAAGAGGAAGAATGCAGGCATCGATGAATCACCAGACTAAGGTTTGAGGTGTGTGGAAGGAACGTAAACGACGAATGTAATAAAGAAGTTTACGGACTTTAGTAAATAGGGTCTCAATATGGAGGGAAAATGAGAAATTCGAGTACAAAGTAACGCCAAGGTAGATGAAAAAGGACACCTCGTTAGGAAGGATGTCAGAGGATTCAGGATTAGGAGAGGGCCGTAGTCGGAAAATATACTGAACTGATTTTTGGTTGTCCATTTCAAGTTTTGAAATTGGAGAAAGGTCATGTCTTGGTCATAAAACATTTTCATTTCCTAAACAATGTAAAATCTGCGGCTGCAGCTGCGCTTTGGCCTCCCAAACTGCTTTGTGTGTACTTCCCGCGCAAGGTGAATCATGCACTTCTTTACGCCATCAAGAACCCATACAATTTTGCACCGGGTATGCACCTTATCGCATATTTTCTGGACGACATTAATAAACGGACGATTCACTGTCATGAAACATTTCACAATTACAAACGTCTTTAAATAGACAGTTTGAAAACCGAAAAAGACTTGACTTGCTGTGAAATGAATGCCCGAAAGAATATTCTTGTGCATCATTCTTTAAAACATAGTTAAATTTGTAATGGCATCCAAAATAAATGTAAAGTTTTCGTGTCAATTTTGTAGTCAATTTTGATATCTACTGAGGTTCTCACAGACGGCCACAACAAAATACACTCAAAAACCGGCGTTCTGGTTCGACTAAAATATTTCGGGATTATGCTGCACGATAACCATTTTTTTTCAACCCCACCAAAATAATCATTTTTTAATCGAAAACAATTTTCGGGATTTTGTATAAAACGCAGACAAAACTATTGTGTCACCATCGCCTGCAAATCGGTATACGAACAGAGCGTGAAGAGGCACGGCCTTCCGGTGGTCTGATTAACAGGCGATGAGTAAAACTTGCATTCGTGTGATCTCGTTTCAAGATGACACTGTTTGCGATTGACAGCAAGCATGACTTTGGAAACAGTCGTTTATCATGCGCTGGCAGTATGACCTTCATTATTTTAGTTGGAACTGCTGTCATCTGGTCACGAGGAGTAACCTGAGTGAGTAGCATTACGGCATCTGTCAGAGACCCATCCCAGCCCTCGTCTAATTATACCCAGCACGTTTTCTGCTCTAAACATTAAATGCTCCACGCTCGTTTTAGGGCCAATATGTTTCCTACAGTAAGTCCTACCAAAACGGTTTTAAGTTGACTTTTTGTAATTACTTAATAAAGCTTTTTGACAGGCATTTCGCTTTTAATGCTGGTTTGCCAGACATTTATGACCTTATGTCCCCTAAATACGTACAGCATCTTGGGTAGACATTTTGGGATGATCGGACTGCGGTTTTGGAATAACAGTGCGGGCGGGTTTAAAATGGTTGACTTCTAATCGGTGGTTCTGTGCAGGGAAGTATGTACAGATGTGGCCAGTATTTATTGTCCGGATTTTGTTTTAGTTAAGTTTGCAATCGATACGGTAAGGCCTCGAACATTCGCAAGGTTGGGTTCCAGAATCCATCGCAAATGGGGAAAAACCGCAGGCGTTTTGCACAAGTAACTAAAACACTTATATCTACAGATTATACCCTCAATCAGATGCAAGTCCCGTCCTCAAATCACTTTAATTTCACTTAGAAGTTAAATAAATAAGTGGTTGGCCTAAAAAGGGATTTTTATGATGACCATTTTTACATTAACCCATTTGCAATACTGTATAATAATGTGGTTTCTATACTAATGCATTTTCCGCGATTTCATTTTGCATTCACAAAGAGACGCCTTGATCAAGCTGTCTCGCTAACCTTCCCAGCAGCAAGGGTTCAAATGCCATTATTTACTAACCTATTTTACGCGGAGAAGGTAAGGATAACTTGCCATCCCAGAATACATCAATGTGCATCTATTCCTTCACTTGCTCCTGTGGAGCAGGTTATATTAGTCGCACGAGTCGGCGTTTATCTAAAAGAGTACGAGGACAACCCCCATCATGGTTGGGAAAAGCCGCAACTAGGAGCATAAGCAGCGCCATTCCTGCGCATGTTGTCGATTTCGGACATTGTGTAGACCCCACCGAAGCATTTCGTGTGATTTATTAGGTTTCTTCGAGCTATCCGAAGCTACTGGGTCAGCGCCTGTTAGCAACAGCAGAAGCGGCCCCCATCAGGTTACAAAAGACAATCTTGTGCGCACAGAAGAACCACGTCCAGGCTCCGCGCCTACGCCGCAACTTCCCCGCGCCCATTCTCTCTCACCGGGCCCCTGACATTGGCTGCTTTAACCCCTCCCCCGCTCCCACATTCTCTCACGCGGCCTGTGTTTTAAGACGAACTTTAATAGATTTCTCTTATCACTGGCATGTTGTTACTTCTACCTCGTCCCCATATAATTGGACTGGCCCGATGAGAATTTATCGAAAGCTACGTATGCTCGCCACCTCGTCTTCTTATTATTGCTATGGAAATTTTCGCAACTCATTTGCAATTTTGTAAAAAAATTAGAACGTGTACGCATGTATATGTATTCAGTACAAAGGTTTCGCGGGTCCAGAAACAAAGAT